CAGAAACCTCTTTCCAAATATTTTATGATTTCTTTGTGGAAAGTGTGCTAAGCTGCTTCATTCCCTCCCAAACAAGATACATTCAAAAGCTGAAGGATCTGCACAAATGGAGGAACAAGACAGTGAGAAGAGCAGCTGCTTAAACCGCAGCATGGAGTAGCAACTGCTTTGGAAATATAAAAGATGAATTGCCCCTAGAGCTGTATTTCCACGGCAAAAGGCGTAACTGATTACCACACGCACTAATTTAATTCTAGCTGCTTTGGGAAACAGCAGCAATGGAGGACACACTTGCCCAGGCATGTTCTAACCCTTTGAGCACAACCACGAAGGTTTCAGAGCACAAGCTGTCCACACAGCACCTGGAAATGTCTGAAATCTCTTCCCTACCACTGTGTCACCCATGACTGCTGCATCCAGCTAGTACCATTTGCCACTTCCCCAGCAAATACAGCTTTGTTCAGCTGTGGAGATGTGCTCTGCTTCGGCACAAGAGCCTGGCACACCGCCTAACCTGTGCTCCACAGAGGGCTATCTTTTCTCTCACCCTTACACAGGGCTCGTCACAAATGGTAATGCAGCCAATCTGAAATAAGCACTCCAAATCAGGCATTTCCATTTATATAGTGCCATAAACGGCTAACACCATCCCTGGTATCCATATATGTTATATAATAACCTTCAAACACAGGTTTGTATCTCACTAAATATAAAACTAATTATAGTATTTGCTATTCCAACATACTATATATCAGGAATGTTATATTCAGGTAAGGTATTAACAATAGTCAAATATTTATTCAGATTTAGTTTTGCATATATATATATATATACATTTTAACTCAGTATAATGAATTTCCATTTACCCTAAATAAAAGCCATGATATGATAGGATTTGGCAATTTGCTGAATCAGAGATAAAGAAAGCACCCACTCAGAACTGAACATCAATGCAAACTTCTTTCAAAGAAATTATTTTAGATGGACCAAAATTTAAGCAGTATTTTGCAAAGAAATAGAGTACATTACATTAAAATAAAGAAGAATATGCACTGACTTGCTAAATATAGTGTGCACTAAGAAAAGCAAAGTACCCAATCTTCCATAAATGTTCTCTTTCACAGGGATGGCTATCAGAAGAACAGAAGAAAAGGTTCTTTCAGTT